ATAACCGAGCGAGCAAGCCTGTCAATTATCGAGCATTCGGTCGTCGTCGAAACCTCCTTGTCGTCCCTCCAAGATGAGGGATCAGCCTGCCTTTTAGGAGAGGCGGACAGGCCCGTTAGTCATTGCTCGATCGGCACGATGCTCATTCAGGGTATTACCATGTCGGAAGTGAGAGAGAGAGAGAGAGAGAGAGAGAGCCTCTCGTCGTGTCGTCGTGCCGTGTCACCACGTTCGTTCGTTCGACCATCGCTTTTCTACGAAATACCACCGTTATTCGCGTGGTTGGCCTATTCTGAGCACGCGCGCCCATCGATAAATTTCCACCGTACGTAAGAAAAAGGAAAAGGAAAGAGGAATTTCCCTTCTCGTAAACTTCCTCCTTTCGAATCCATTGGGAATGTTCCAATTAGTAGGTAGCGACGAGCATTCAACGTTTTATCGCGCGTTCCTTCTCCAAACATTACTGATTATCTTTCGATGCCACGCACACCATTTTCATAAAACACGCAACCTTTAAAAAATTAGCCTTGTATTTCGTCGTGATTTTCAAATTTCCCGCCTCTCGTTCACTATTATTTCGGATCGAAGGAAAGAGGAGAACTCATCAATCCATTGTAAAATTTCATTTCCGTTTGGAACAAAGCTATCTCATAAATATGAAACAACGTTATCGTTATTCGCAAAATTGGGTCGAAGGCTGTCGTTTCGATAGGCGATCGGTCGAGGATCGAGGAATTGGTGGTGGATTCTGGTGGAAAGCGGCGCGGATGCAGCGACGAAGGAGCGAGGAGCGCATGATCTCGATCTCACGGCCCGTAACGTCGGGAATCGTGCGCCAGGGCCAGGCTTTAGCTAATCACGGTACACGGTCGAGTATGAACGGCTAACCGGGACACGGTGGAAACTTCGCCCACGGTTGTTCGCCGGGCCGGAGGGGATACGAAGGAACAGTCTGTTCCCAGGTGAAGGTAATCATATTCCGCGTTCCACGGTAATGGTGAACGAACACAGCCTCCGGCCGCTAACGGAACCTCTGCCACCCCATTTCGCTGTGTGGCGGGCCTGTGGGTGCATCTACCTGCACTCAGGCCAAACTTCTCTCGCCGACGCAATTATCGCGCCAACAGCTGTTATCCCATGGATCGAGGAGGGAGAGACGGAGAGATCGTTATCGGCCTCTTGTTTCCAACTGCGGTTTCCAACTCTCCCTCTCTCGATCCTCTAATAAATTTACTCGGTTAGCCTCTTTATCCACGCTGAACTTCATCTTCATTTTTAATAGAAGTGGAAGGGTAGAAAGGTTCTTTTTTTTTTTTTTTTTTTTTTTTTTTTAAGAGATTAGATTTGTACGCGATTGAATAATTGAATATCTTTTGGGGAGAGGAAAGAAATGTTAAAAAGCGTGGTTGCAAAATATGGACGTTCGGTCACGATTTCGACTCTTGAATCTTAAAAGGTAGTTGCAACATCACTTTTTTAAAAAATCCTCGCGCACGTTCGATGAATTTTTGATCCGTGCAACGCATCAAATTTTTGTCAAGTTGATGCGGTCGATTAAAATAGATGACCTCAATTAAAACTTGTCGGCAAGTCGAAGAAATAATCCGTATTTCAAAAATTGTCAACAATTTTTTTTTCTATTCAATTCAATTATTTCAATCGTTGCAAAAGAAATATTCCAAAAATTGTCGAATCCTTTATCTTTCCATTTCGAACTTAATCGAGAATCATCAACTCTATTCACTTTCGATTCAATTCTCTTCAAGAAATAATCTATATTTCAAAAATTGTTAACGATCAGAGTTTCTTTTCCTATCGAATTCAATTATTTCAATCGTTAAAAAAGAAATATTCCAAAGATCGTCAACGAATCCTTTACCTTCCCATTTCGAACTTAACCAAGAATTGTTAACTCAATTGTCTATTCACTTTTTCCAATTCTCTTCAATCAAAAAATCTATATTTCAAAAATTGTCAACAATTTCTTTTTTCTATTCAGTTCAATCGTTAAAGAAGAAATATTCCAAAGATCGTCAACGAATCCTTTATCTTTCCATTTCGAACTTAATCGAGAATTAGACTCTATTCACTTTCAATTCAATTCTCTTCAAGAAATAATGTATATTTCAAAAATTGTCGACAATCGGAGTTTAGTTCCTTTTCCTATCGAATTCAATTATTTCAATCGTTAAAGAAGAAATATTCCAAAGATCGTCAACGAATCCTTTATCTTTCCATTTCGAACTTAATCGAGAATTAGACTCTATTCACTTTCAATTCAATTCTCTTCAAGAAATAATTTATATTTCAAAAATTGTCGACAATCGGTGTTTAGTTCCTTTTCCTATCGAATTCAATTATTTCAATCGTTGAAAAAGAAATATTCCAAAGATCGTCGACTTAATCAAAGAATCTCTTAACTCTATTCACTTTACTCAATCCTGTTCGAGAAACAACAATAACTCGGAAGATTAGCAACGATCCACGCTTACAAATCCATGCTTACTTTTCCCATCGACGGCTATCACTTTCTCGCCCATCAAACGTCGTTATTACCTGGCGCTCGTATCCGTATCGGTATTCGTGAAATCGCGGACGCTTTCGGTTGCGGCACGGCCGTATCGAGAGCGCAAGTGAAATTAGTCGCGGTTCGACGAGTGGCAGCCACCATGAACCGGGTCCTGGAAAGTAAATCGCGGACTCGCGACGAATCAGGTTGAATCGACGACGCGAAACGAAAGGGAAACGGGACGCGAAAGAAGGACGGAAAAAAGAGGAAAAGAGAAGGAACCCGCTTCGTTCACCCGGTTGCCTCTTATCTTACCGTGGAACGTGCGGCTCGTTCGCATTTTCATTCACCTCGTGTCACCGCGCGTGGGCGTGCCGTTCCTAGCCTGTCAACGCCGTTGGCAACGTCTGTGTCAACGGATGGAGCACAATCGTCTTTGGGAACACAATCGTTCCTGGCTAACAGGATAATAGGACAATGGATTCGTTGAATTTGGGGAAGGAAACAGGCGGGGGGAGCAGGGAACTAGGCGGCCTTATTAATTACGAAATTTCGATAGGACGTGACTCGTCGCGGCCGTGGTCAAAGGATCCCCGTTCCGCGCCTTGGGATATTAATGAAAATATTTGTATGATCGTTTATCTCTCGCTCCGTCGTTTCAATGGAAAAATTTAATGAAGGAATCTGTATGGAACGCCTCTATCCTTGAATCGTGGAATATCGACACGTTTCGTTTACTTGTATTCTATTATCGTATCGAAAGTCGTGGATCATCCGGAAAAAACGTTTGAGTTTTTTTCGTGAATGGGGCGAGATTCTTTTGAGAACGCCGATGAATTATTCTCGAGACGGAGAAAAGGATTGTTAATCAAAATTTTATTCCGATTGTATTATATATCTCGTTACGCTTCGTTACTTGTGAATATCTTCTTGTTTTCGCTTCCTTCGGGACAGTAGAGATGAAAATCATCATTCGTTTCTCAGAGTAGTACAACAGCGGAGTAGCCGCTGTAGTTATTCGCCGTCGAATTCTTGGCCGGCAAGGGATCGAGGCGGTGGTCGATGCATACCCCATTCACCGAATTCCTCGGCTCAATGGGCCGTATCCTGAATACGCAATGACACGCCGCTTTTACCGGCTCGGAAGAAGGACCGGAAAGATTTTCGCTCTGCGCTCGAACGATCCCTCGCCGCTGTTCCATTGCATAGGAGGGAGAGGGAGATAAATAAAAGAGGAGGGGAAAAAAACGGTGGAAGAAATCCATCCATCCGAGGATCGCCAGGATTCATTACGATAGTTCCAAGATGTAATTTACAGCGTCGTTAACGAGCAGGCGCGAGCTTAGGTGTCACGAGTTTCCATCCTTCGCCTCTTCCCTCCTCTTTCTCTCTCTCTCTCTCTTTTTGTCTCTCTGTTCCCGCGTTCGATCAACAATGAAATGCCACAGCGAAGGGGAAGTACGGAGAACGACGAGAAAAGATGAAGTCGACGGGTGAAAAGAGAAACTACCCACGCTCTTTTATCTCGATGGTCCTTTGTATTAAGCCGCTGTCGCAACTGGTATGCCTTCACCAAACTCCACTCTTCTCTTCCTGTCGATTCTCCTTTTTCTAACCTCCCCTCCCTCCTTTCCCATCCTTTTCACCCTCTTAATCCTGCCAACAATTCCTAACACGCGTAATTCCTTCCCCTTATCATACATATCCACATATATATGTACATATTCCTCGACTCCTGTGGAATGCGCATTTGATCATTTCCAAATTTAAATTTATAAATTCACAATTAAGGAATAATTAAGATAATTCTTCCGATCTTCCGATCTTCCAAATAACATGATATAATTTCGAAATGACTTTCCGCCATCCTTGAACCCGCCCTTGAATTTCGAATTGAATTCCTGCACGTTCCTCATAGCGAACAGACAGCCGGAAATCACGCGAATCCGGACACGCATTCCCACGCGCCCGCGGCTCGTAAATTCACGCGGCTCGCACACCCACCCCCCAAGAGAAGGGATCCTCTTACGTGCGCGTCTCTGACGCGCGTGCCGTGACGCACAATGTCGTGGCGCGAGCCGTGTCGTCCGATTTTCGCGTCTCCTCACCGACGCCTAAATATACGCGCCTAATGTTACGCGCACGTTCATTGTTCATCCCCCTGATCCGCGAGAGCGTAACGCCGGTCAAAGTGCGGAGGTATGCGAGACATTGGCACGTCTCCAGCCACGTCTTCCAGCCGTCAGTGTCAGCACGCTGTGACAGTTACGCTAGAATGCCACAGTGACAGGATAAATACCGGGGATTAATGTGGAGGAGGGGAGGGGAGGAGAATGGGCACGAATGGGCATTATTATTATTACACGAGTTCGAGTAAGAAAGGGATGACTCGAGATGGAAAAGAAGGAAAGGAAGGAAAAATGGGATTTAATTTATATCCGGTCCGATTTTTGACGAACCAGTACCAGTTCTTTTCTTTTTTTGATTTCAGGAAACGGAAGAAGAGTGCCGACATGTCGGCCTTGAACGCCGGGCCCTGTCGACCCGGGATTATACTCTACCTGGCGGCCGTTCTACTGGCATCGCAGTCCGATTCTGGTAAGTTTTTCCAACGAATCCGTTAACAAAGCTACCACGTCCACAAAAGGTACCAGTTCGTTCCACCTAGAGTTTTATCCTCGTCCTCCGCGTATACATACACATGCTCGACGTGTCGAAACGTAACTCATTTGACGGCGTACAAGTGTACGTGAGACGGCATGAAAAGGAAGTCCCGACGAGGAAGAACGACGCTGCCTTCCTTCTCTTCCCCCCTCTCTTCTCCTTTCTAAAAAAAATCCTCATCCTTCGAGCGTTTGAAAAAGAAGGATGTATAAATTGCTCGCGAGAGAGGTCAATGCTTTTAAGATTAAAAGTTTGCGTTTAAAAATCTCGTGCGTTAAATGTACATACGGTTTATAAATAGCGTATCGACACCTTCGTTCTATTACCACGTATTTGATACGTGATACGTATGTTGATAAGTGCGATGGTATTAGAACGAAGGTATCGATGATAATAACAACGATTTAAAGGCAATGAAATATCGATCGATCCGTACGTATATAATCGAAAAACGAAGAAAAGAAAGTTCGAAGGAGCCTCGACGAATTAGAAAAAAGAAATTAAACGAATCGAGAGTTCCCACGATCGAACCCACCTCGCCTGGCACACGTATATATAAATATATATACGAAAGAATTAATTCCTGGCCGATGATCTGGCCCCATCGAATCCCTCCTTAATCTTCTTTCTTTCTTTCTTTTTTTTTCGAAACGTCTGCCGTGACTAAAGCCAGCCAACGGGCAACGTCTGAATGGCCAACCAAGCCAGGACGTCGAACCTATCCTTCCGTCCTTCCCTCGCGTTCCCTCGCCGAGGAATAATCTTACCTCATAATGCTCACCTCTGGCATCGTCGAGCAGACGTCGAGAGGTGGCCAGGGTGCTTTCCCATGGACCTATGGGACGCGCGCGCGCACCATATTCGTTCCTCGATCCAGGATCGTCTTCTCCATCGCGGGTGAGCCACCGTCGCTCTCTCTCTCTCTCTCTCTCTCTCTCACTCCCTCTCACTCTCTTTGTCTGTCTGTCCCTGTCTCCGTTCGAGGCATCGCATAGATCTCTTCCGTTTACGTCGAGCCGGTTTCGCGTTACGTGTAGCACACGAGACCTATTCCCGTGCTCGGACGATCGATGGAACGTGGTCGACCGACAGATCCGATCGGGGACCGATTAGTCATCTCCGCTCCCCCGTGGCAACGTATAACGTTGGAAATCGCGTTCGAAAACACCTGGGGGGAGGCCACTTTCACCTGCAACGGGGTGATCGCGTCACGCAACGAACAGCGTGGAGGTCAAGTTCGTGGGAGATCGATCGTGCGTAGGATCGACGTATAGGTTGCGTATATAGGTGGCTCTCGTTTTAGATTATCGACGATTATGATTTCGGATGATGATTCTTCTTCGCTTCGCTTGGAGGAGGAGGAGGAGGAGGAGGAGGAGGGGAGGGGGACAAGTACTAGGTGCTAGGAAGGAAACTATTCGAGGGGAAGTTTGACGATTAATAAAACCGAGTTGAGCTTAACGTTGGTTCCTTTTCCACGTCTCGGTTGAATGGGCTCGGATTAATGGATGCAATTTATTTCGCTTCATCGTCTCCCCGCGGTTGGTCGCAGTTGGAAATAAAGGCGAAAGCGCAAGCTTAAACCGCCGCCTCTAAGAATACGAATTCTTATTCCTTCGTTTCTCCCTTCTTTAACACCGACGATTTTAGTTCCGCAACTCAACCCTGACGAAAACCATCGAGACGAGAAATTAACATTTCCCGGGAATTTATTTCTCTTACTTCAATATACACCCATATCGAATTCGCTTAATAATTCGAAAGTTACATTACCTTTCCGTTTATTCATTTCGCTCTCCTTAATTTTAATATTATTCCCAAATTATCACGTATCTATCTATCGATTTTGCGATCTGAAAAGATCTTTAAATTAAAAAATATATATATATATCTCAACTAAACGACATTATCGAGTCGAAAAAATTAAATCTTCCTCTACGTGAAGATTTCCATTGCGATTCATCGAAATCCGTTCTCGTTTTCGAGAAAAAAGAAAGAAAGAAAGAAAGAAAGAAAGAAAGAAAGAAAGAAAGAAAGAAAGAAAGAAAGAAAGAAAAATCGGCTTCCTGGATCTCAGTCATCTCTCCGTTCATGATCCATCAACGCCAGGGAGGGCAGAAATCGATCCTGTTTCCCGACGCGACCGACGCTCGGCCAGCCATCGGGAATCATTCTCGGAACAGCGTGTTACCTCGAACGAAGCGACGTGCAAAAACGTTCGCATCGTCAATGAGAACTCATTAGAGATGCAACGTTTTTGCCTTGCCCCCGCCTTCCCCTCCACCCCGCCGACAATTGGCTGCTTCGACGAACACCAGGTGTGGACAAATGGTCATGAAAGAACGATCGAGAATTCCGCGCGAGGTACGCGCGCCTCTTCCTTTTCCTCCTCCTTTTTTCAAGACTGGATCACTGGGTGATCCTGTCCCTCGCGCGCGCGCGCCTATCCTTCACGTTTTTTCCCCCTCCCTTCCTTCTTTCGAAGGCAGCCTCTCCATCGATCCCTGTCTGCTTTTCTTCTTTCCATATTTCTCTTTCTCTCCTCCGTGGTGGAGAACGTTGAGGGGAAAGAAACGAAAAGAAAAAGAGAAAGGAAGGAAAGCTGCTTCCCAATTTCGTTAAACCTTTTGGATAAATCGATCCCTGTCTGCTTTTCTTCTTTCCATATTTCTCTTTCTCTCCTCCGTGGTGGAGAACGTTGCGGGGAAAGAAACGAAAAGAAAAAGAGAAAGGAAGGAAAGCTGCTTCCCAATTTCGTTAAATCTTTTGGATAAATCGATCCCTGTCTGGTTCTCTTCTTTCCATATTTCTCTTTCTCTCCTCGTGGTGGAGAACGTTGCGGGGAAAGAAACGAAAAGAAAAAGAGAAAGGAAGGAAAGCTGCTTCCCTAATTTCGTTAAACCTTTTGGATAAACCGTTTCCAATTGCAACTCGACGACAGCCGTAATTTCGGAATTATCCTCGGCATCCTCGAGAGGAAACGATCCGATCTTTGGTCGAAATCAAGTTGGAGAGATCGTTTTTCCTTTCCCGTAGAGGGAAAGAAGAAGAAGAATCGCAGTTTCCAGCGTAATTTCGTCATCGATCGAGCGAGGGGGACGACGCGTGACGAAGAAGGAAGAGAGAGAGAGGAAAAAGCGGGAGAGAAAAGCGATATCCGCGATGTCGTAACCCGGAGAACGAGATTTCGAAACGGTCGTGGAAACGATTTAAGAAGGAGGAGGAGGAGGAGGAGGAGGAGAAAAATGCGTGTCGAGTCGGTACACAGCTGCACGGATAGCGGTTCCCGTACTTGGCTGCATCCACGTGATGCTGTGAATTCTGGTCAAACCTGTAGAGGCCTCGAAGAGACGGGTCCACGGATGTCAGTGACCGCGTACCTCACCGTTGCCCACTTACGGTCCATATCGTCGCACCTGACCCTCCATCCGTTCCATATTTATGCCTCGATGCCGGCCAAAGTGTCGTTATCTTCGAGTATCGCTCGACAACAGTTGGTCGGGGACAACAGTTTCTTGGATTCTCTCTCTCTCTCTCTCTCTCTCTCTCTCCTCTCGGAGAGAGTGCCCGACGAGTGTTTCCTCCTCGATGGAAGAGAGAGAGAGAAAGAAAAAAAGAAATACCATGGAGATATCACGTTCGATTTATTCTCGTTATTTATTTTCGTCCCCTCGATTGTTTCTTCGTTAGAAGCGTTAGATCGTTGAGCAGCTGTGGATAATATTATAATAAGTTGTTGGATCTTTTTTCGAAGAGAGGAAGGAAGCGATAATGTAAATTTGAAGAACGAGTTTGAAAGATGGATTAACTGTTGAAAAATGCGTAATACTGCAAGGTAAATATATTAAAAATAATTTTTAATCGCGTCGCATAGTTAATCGCGTAAATAAGATTTTTCTTCGACATTTTACTATCGAGTTCATGTGTACTCGACATCAATATGCTTGCGCAAACATCCCATAGCAATAACTCGCCTGTTAACGATAACAAAATCGATTTTATAATCTCACATCACGGATCCTGGGCACGGATATCTTTAATTAAAACCCGAGTAATTTCAATGCTGGCGCCCTTCGCGGTGTACATTTGCCAAGTAAATAACGCGTCGCTATCAAACACGCTCGAGCAAACATATTCGAGTTTATTTGCCTTTCGAAGGGTCTCGCCACCTGTTTGACCACGCTCCCCACTCCTTGTTATCGCGGTAATTAATTGCCTCGTGGATCTTTCTACCATTTCGAATCCTCTGAAACCGTGATAAACTCGAAAAGTTCGTCTCCTATCCCTTTAAACGTGATCCTTCTTCTTTTCCTCTCTCTCTCTCTCTCTCTCTCCATCATCAAAACGAAAATTTTATCGAATCGATCGTTCAACGTGTCAATCTTTTCTCCACGATTGGACGTGGAGAGGTTGGTTGCCAACTTGTTCGAGATGAAGGGGAATTCGGACGCGTCGCTTAAAATTCGGGACGCGTAAAGGAGCGGCAAAGTAAACGTAGCGGTGAACCGTTCATTTAACGAAAGTACACGCACGTGCAAACATCTCCGCATAATTAGCCGGTTTCCCTGACGCCTTGTTTCCCTGATGTGGCATCATCGGAAAGGGGATGCTTACGCAACTCCTTTCGTCCAAGATTCGTCGTCCCTCTGAGGGAAGGAAGAAGTCGAGCGAGGAGGCATCGATTAAACGATTTCCGCGTCGATTTGCATATTTTCAATTCCTGTTTTTCTTGCCGCGCAACGTTGTTACACAGCTTGTAACAACATTGCTCGACGATTTTCTGCATCACGCCTATCTTCTGTATCAGCGTCAACGATCCGTTTATCTTTCTCTACTTTCTTATTTGCGAACCTCGCCTCCTTATCGCCCCGTCTCCGTTTACGATCATCGTCACGGGCGAGAAAACACATTTGGAGACGGAAATAGCTTCTAAA